GAGGAAGGAAAGAAGGGGGGAGAGTAGAGGAAGGGGGAGAAGAATGGTGGATGAACTAGATTGAGGGAGGAAGGAAGGAAGGAAGGAAGGAAGGAAGTTTAATTGAAGTATAATTATCACCTCTCTCAAGTTCTTACTTTTCTTACTATATATTCTCTTTCACTTATCTCTTAGTTTACAACCCCTTCCCCAACCCCCCTCTCTCTCCCCTACCCTCTCTTTTTCCTCTTCGACCCCTCTCCTCTACCACCAACCCTCCTCCCTCTATCTTATAACCCCACCCTCCCTACCTCCACCCTCCCCTACCTCCACCCCCTCCCCTACCTCCACCCTCCCCTACTTCCACCTCTCCTACCTCACACCCTCCTCTTCCACCTCTACTCTCCACCCTCTCTCTACTCTCACCCTCTCTCCCTACCTCCACCTCTCCCCTACTTCCCACCTCTCCTACCTCCACCCCCCTCCCTACAGTCTATCGGTGTGTAATGTCCAAGGTGGACCATAGTCTTGTTCACACGCTATGGACTGTTATAGTAACGTTCCTAATGACCTACTGCGACTTGTCATTGTTGAGTGGGGAGGATTAGGTGAGGAGTGGGCGGAGGGTCGAGTGGGAGGATTAGGTGAGGAGTGGGCGGAGGGTCGAGTGGGAGGATTAGAGGAGTGGGCGGAGGGTCGAGTGGGGAGGATTAGGTGAGGGGTGGGCGGAGGGTCGAGTGGGGAGGATTAGGTGAGGGGTACTGCTATCTTTTGATTGTCGGATTTTTATCATGACTGACACACACACACACACACACACACACACACACACAATTTGTTCCATTATCACCAATAATATTTCCTTATAACAATGTAAAAATAGAATACGATACAAAATACAGAGAGAGAGAGAGAGAGAGAGAGAGAGAGAGACTAACACTATTTTCCTCTACAGTAATTTTATAAAAAAAATTCTGTCACGCTCCTCATTTCCTGGTTATCAACACACTTTCTCCTCCCCTTCCCTTCTCTCTCTCTCTCTCTCTTCACTGTCCCTTTTTTCATTTTCTCCCACTCTTTCTCTTTCTTTCTAATTCTCTCCTTGTTTTCTCCATATCATCATGCGTGAAGTCAATCGTTAATCAGTGTCGAAACTTCTGTCACCAAGATAACTGTACTGCATATCAGGCTGGAGTGACCGGTTGCACCATTCGGACAAAACTTGTTGAAAACTGGCCGCTTCATCACATTTTTCCGTGGAGTTGTGGAGGCGTCAAGTGTGTAGTTGTCGAAGACGTAACCTCGAAGCGTAATTAGGCTTACGTTTCAGTGGGGTTGATATTATTATGCAACATTGTACCTGTAACTACACTAGACGCCATCCAAAGACGTAGATGGCAATTCATGTCAACCAATCAGCTTCGTCGTTCCAGAATCAGAGTATTAGGTTTTATATCTATAAGTGTAAGTAATAAGAGTGCGGAGGTCATATTGCAACTATATCTTGCGCTAATCAGGCCGCACCTCGATTATGCTGCTCAGTTCTGGTGCCCTTATTATGGAATGGATATCAATTCACTGGAGTCGGTGCAGCGAAGAATGACGAAAATGATTCCGGGACTTAGAAACCTTCCATATCAGGATAGGTTAAAGGAACTAAACTTGCATTCCTTAGAAAGACGAAGAGAGTGCGGGAGATATGATAGAAGTATTTAAGTGGGTGAAAGGAATCAATATAGGAGATATAGTTAAAGTTCTTATAATATCCAAGCAGGATAGGACTCGTAGCAACGGAATTAAGTTGGATAAGTTTAGGTTTAGGAAGGAGATAGGAATGAATTGGTTCACAAATAGGGTGGTAGACGAGTGGAACAAGCTTTGCAGCTTTGTAGTAAGTGCTGGAACGCTGAAAAGTTTTAAAGGGAGGCTAGATAGATTCATGGATGATAGAGAGTGGTAGTAACTCTCGACAGGAACTGCCATGCACAGGTCAACCGGCCTATTGCAGACTCCTTATTTTCTTATGTTCTTATGTGCTAGAGTCATTTTAAATCTTTACTGCCAGACCGATGTTGCCAAATGAACAAATGTCAATACTACTATACAGCGCCGAGACGAATTCCTGCAGCCGACTGTACAGCACAAGTCTCAGTACATAAATTAATGGACAATTCCAAACACTTGCAAATTGACAAATTCACACATAATACAATAATGAATATGGTGGTACGCCGACACACACGGACAACAACAAACACATCCTCACAGCCTATACCGCACACGCCTCCCTGTGTGGGACTGCCTCATCGTTATTAGACATTTTAGTTTATTTTACCTGATAATAATTGATCACAATAACGCTACCTGGAAGAGAGGGTGGTAGGTAAAGGTGGGTTGGGTTAGGTTAGGTTAGGTTGGCATTAGAGTGTTTACTCATCAGGTGAAATTAGCAAGGGTGTATTCTTCAGATTAGATTAGGTTAGGTTGCATAAGCTAGGATATCTAATTATTCAAGTAATTCCAGTGCGTCACGTGGTCCTGTGGCTTCACACATCACAGGCAAGACAATGCAAGATAACAATTCCTCCTTTTATGGACTGAATAAATGTGAGCCAGTCAGATTTTTACTACTGGTCCTGACTCACACTACAAACTGGTACTGACTCATATTACTGGCACTGACTCACACCTGATGCTAACTATATTTCACCTCCTCAATGACAATTCGTACCTGCGCACAGTGGGATGATCTTCCAGTACGATAACCACCCCGCCACCGCCCCCTTTGCATTAAATTAACTGTAAACACGACGTAAATTGTAAAAAAAAAATTTCCAACTTTCTGTAAAATCGTTAAACAACTTGTAAAAACAATCATACATGACAGATAATCGATTTATATCACTAGTTAGTCACTGCCTCTCACTAGTTAGTCACTGCCTCTCACTAGTTAGTCACTGCTTCTCACTAGTTAGTCACTGCCTCTCACTAGTTAGTCAGTTGGTCACTGCCTCTCACTAGTTAGTCACTGCCTCTCACTAGTTAGTCACTGCCTCTCACTAGTTAGTCACTGCTTCTCACTAGTTAGTCACTGCCTCTCACTAGTTAGTCACTGCCTCACTAGTTAGTCACTGCCTCACTAGTTAGTCACTGCCTCTCACTAGTTAGTCATTGCCACTAGTTAGTCACTGCCTCTCACTAGTTAGTCACTGCCTCTCACTAGTCACGCCTCTCACTGAGTCACTGCCTCTCACTAGTTAGTCACTGCCTCTCACCAGTTAGTCACTGCCTCTCACTAGTTAGTCACTGCCTCTCACCAGTTAGTCACTGCCTCTCACTAGTTGGTCACTGCCTCACCTAGTTAGTCACTGCCTCTCACTAGTTAGTCACTGCTCTCACTAGTTAGTCACTGCCTCTCACTAGTTAGTCACTGCCTCTCACTAGTTAGTCCTGCCTCTCACTAGTTAGTCACTGCCTCTCACCAGTTAGTCACTGCCTCTCACTAGTTAGTCACTGCCTCTCACCAGTTAGTCACTGCCTCTCACTAGTTAGTCACTGCCTCACCAGTTAGTCACTGCCTCCTCACCAGTTAGTCACTGCCTCACTAGTTAGTCACTGCCTCTCACTAGTTAGTCACTGCCTCTTCTGCTCACTAGTTAGTCACTGCCTCTCACTAGTTAGTCACTGCCTCACTAGTTAGTCACTGCCTCACAGTTAGTCACCGCCTCACCAGTTAGTCACTGCCTCTACCAGTTAGTCACTGCCTCTCACTAGTTAGTCACTGCCTCTCACTAGTTAGTCACTGCCTCTCACTAGTTAGTCACTGCCTCTCACTAGTTAGTCACTGCCTCTCACTAGTTAGTCACTGCCTCTCACTAGTTAGTCACTGCCTCTCACTAGTTAGTCACTGCCTCTCACTAGTTAGTCACTGCCTCTCACTAGTTAGTCACTGCCTCTCACTAGTTAGTCACTGCCTCTCACTAGTTAGTCACTGCCTCTCACTAGTTAGTCACTGCCTCTCACTAGTTAGTCATTGCCTCTCTTTAGTTAGTCACTGCCTCTCACTAGTTAGTCACTGCTTCTGCTAGTTAGTCACTGCCTCTCACTAGTTAGTCACCTGCCCTCTCACTGGTTAGTCATTGCCTCTCACTAGTTAGTCATTGCCTCTCACTAGTTAGTCACTGCCTCTCACTAGTTAGTCACTGCCTCTCACTAGTTAGTCACTGCCTCTCACTAGTTAGTCACTGCCTCTCACCTAGTTAGTCTGCCTCTCACTAATTGGTCACTGCCTCTCACCTAGTTAGTCACTGCCTCTCACTAGTTAGTCACTGCCTCTCACTAGTTAGTCACTGCCTCTCACTAGTTAGTGCACCTCTCCTTCAGTTAGTCTGCCTCTCACTAGTTAGTCCTGCCTCTCACCTAGTTAGTCACTGCACTCTCACTAGTTAGTCACTGCCTCTCACTAGTTAGTCACTGCCTCTCACTGATTGGTCCTGCCTCTCACTAGTTAGTCACTGCCTCTCCTGAATTAGTCACTGCCTCTCACTGAGTAGTCACTGCCTCTCACTAGTTAGTCACTGCCTCTCACTAGTTAGTCACTGCCTCTCACTAGTTAGTCACTGCCTCCCTCACTAGTTAGTCACTGCCTCTCACTAGTTAGTCACTGCCTCTCACTAGTTAGTCATTGCCTCTCACTAGTTAGTCATTGCCTCTCACTAGTTAGTCAGTCACTGCCTCTCACTAGTTAGTCACTGCCTCTCACTAGTTAGTCACTGCCTCTCACTAGTTAGTCACTGCCTCTCACTAGTTAGTCACTGCCTCTCACTAGTTAGTCACTGCCTCTCACTAGTTAGTCACTGCCTCTCACTAGTTAGTCACTGCCTCTCACTAGTTAGTCACTGCCTCTCACTAGTTAGTCACTGTTAATCGGAATTTAGTAAATCCGTTTCTCTTAATTTTCACGTTTCTCTTTTATGTTTTATTAATTATTATTTTTTTCCACACTACTTAATTCTTCTTACCTCTTCTGCCATAACATTTCTCTCTTCATTTATCTTCCTTCTTAGCTAGTATGTTCTTCCTTCTTTAATCCTTTATTGATTCTCTCCCCTTTATCTAACTTTCTTCTTCTTTCTTTTAATCTTTTATGGTTAATTCTTTCCCCAACGCTTATTTCTTGTTCTTCATTTGTCTTCTTCTTTCAACTGTACGTCTTTTATGACATATTCTTCCTCATTACATCATTCAGTTTACTCTTTCCTTTATTACTTTTTCTGTCTCTCCTCTGGTCATGTAATCTTCTTGACTTATCAATTATTCGCTTCTTCCTCTTCTTCGACTTCCTCACACTACTTACTTCTTCTCTGTCTCTCTTTCCCCTTCGTATTGGTCATTTTTCACTTCTCATCTTCTATTTGATGAGTCTCTCAGTGTCTCTCGTTCACTACTAGAGCCGCCAGCAGGTTAGATGTCTGCAGGTGTACAGTGAGAACACTTGTGGGGCGGACAAGCATTGACTAGTTACGACTGGTTCTGCTAGTTAGTGTAGCAGGTGTTCTGTTTCACACACACACACACACAGATAGAGTGTGAGAGTGTGTGAGAGATATTAACTTTTATTAACGATCAGGTACACCACCTCTTCATTAATACTAATCATACGCTACATATAAATCATCTATTTACACACACACACACACACCATAACGTTTACTTTAATAATGGCCACATAATAAGAACAGTTTTACCCACTTCACTAATGACTCCACTATAGCTTAAAGCATTTGAAAATACCCACAATAACGTGACCCACACCAGCTTCTGACCCACGCCAGCCCATGACCTACGAAAGACCTTGACTCAAATCAATTCCTGAGATATCATCTGCGCCAGGGTCTGATCTACGCCACACCTACACTAGTGCCTGACTGACTCTAACCAGCTCCAGGCAGTTGAGATCACGAGCGTGTAAAATTGGCATGCAAGGTGATATATAAACTGGTGGGAAGTGATCCAAACGGTATATTAATTTTAATTGGTTATAACTTAATATTTAGCGTATTTAATAATCTTGATTCATACGTGTACTGTATATACATTTTTCGGCGTAATTATTTCCTTGCTTTAAGAATTGGTTAAACTGGTAATATGTATGTGCTATAACTTTAACTGGTGCAAGTCGTTGTGTCAGAAGCCAGGGGGACACAGCGACTAGGCAGGGGGACACAGTGACTAGGTAGGGGGACACAGTGACTAGCCAGGGGGACACAGTGACTAGGTGGCAGGAAATAGCGACTAGGCAGGGGGACACAGTGACTAGGCCAGGGGGACACAGTGACTAGGTGGCAGGAAATAGCGACTAGGCAGGGGGACACAGTGACTAGGCAGGGGGACACAGTGACTAGGTGGCAGGAAATAGCGACTAGGCAGGGGGACACAGTGACTAGGCAGGGGGACACAGTGACTAGGCAGGGGGACACAGTGACTAGGCAGGGGGACACAGTGACTAGGCAGGGGGACACAGTGTAATAAAAGGGACACCCACGCACGCCTACGCCTACAAGAGTCAGCCAGCCTGTGGGGCCCTGTGTGTTTATGATGCCTCTCAGGAGACAGTTACCTCAATTCGTCACCATTCGTTATCCCCCCAATGGTAACCAGATCCCTGCCTACACCAAGTGCCATGAAGATAGCTCCGCCTATAGAAATGACGTGACTACACCCATATTGTGAACCAGCCAATCAGTGGAAGACGTGCCTAAAGACTCTTTGAAAAACAGACTCTGATTAGAACTCAGAATATGCTTCTTACAGTTAATAAGATAATGTTAGATGGTGAGTAGATAGAGGCAAATGACGTAAAGCAACTTACCAGAAAGAGTACAGAATGTTGATCCTGCTCGACGACCAGCGGCTCCGGCCCTACTGATAATGGGAAGCATGTTTACAGGCCACATCTAAGGAACATAAAGTTGCCTTTGGTGTCAGGTAAAGATACGCAAATGATATCACTAACAAATTATCAATTAAACAGGAGTCGTGCAAACAATGGCTCATAGATAATTTATCCCTACATCTTGGAAAAACTGAAGCAATATCATTGTCCTACGTGGGAATAAACCCCCTCTCAACTATAACCTTGATAGTTGATCACCATGAAGCTAGGAGGTCCATGAATGATATCATTCGAAAGATTATAATAAGGCGGTATGAGGAGGGACACGTGAGTGACATGATGACAAGGCCAAGATACGGCGGCCCTCGGGTAACCTCACCAGTTGACGACCAGACCAAGCCTCCCAAACAACAGCGGGAGCCTGGACATGGGATTTACAACTCCCATGTCACACTGTCACCACGAGACGGCGGCTGTTTGAGGTGGGGCTGAACTGCCACGTTACGGCTGTGCTGACGGAAACCAACAAGGCTGTTGGGCGAACTACAGACTGAGATTCGCCCAACAGTATAGCCAATATGGCTTAGATTACTGGGAGAATGTCAGTTTCACAGATGACAAATGTTTTTCATCTATGACAGCGACTGGCAGACACTGCTGACGAATATCAAATACTCGCTACGATGCCAAGAAACATCCATGAGACGGCAAGGAGTGGCAGGGGTAACCGTCTCGTTTCATGGTTGAAATGTAGGCTGCACAAGCCGGTCAGTGGTAAAGTTGTCTATACACGAACGAAACTGTTGATGTAATATTATTATTGCACTTCCACAACTAAGGTCTTTAAGCACATAACAAGGTTAGTAATACAGTACACTAGTCCACCAACAATTAACAATTATGAGATTGAACTCTATTTGAATTAACTGTATACCTGCGTTGTCTACATATATGCCAAACTAGTTGTAATGATTCACTTGTATCATCATCATCATCATCATCATCATCATCATCATTATCATTATCATTATTATTATTAATATTATTATTATTATTATTATTATTATTATTTTTTTTTTTTTTATTATTATTATTATTATTGCTACCGTAATATTATTAGGGATGACAATCATTACTTCAAAGAGCTTTTCTAATAGCTTTCGGTCACATTTTTAAAGAAAACTATAAAACGTTTATTTCATAGAAAATGACTATTATAGCAATAACTATGACAAATGGCAATAAACATCCTCACCACCTACAGTATTTATTATCTTAAAGACAACACCAAAATAGAGAAAGAATTATTTTTGTAGAGAGATAATATACCATAAAATAGCCTATAAATACAGTAAGAAAATTCAACCACTCGGCCGAACGGCTAATAAACTGTAGTAAGACGATAAGCTAAAACATTTCTTTCTACCACCCATTAATATCTGACATCTAGTCTTAATTAGGTACATGCACAGGTACATACAGATGTTCATACAGGTATAATGACTCAAAATCTATTACGCACTGTTGGTAAGTACCGGTCATGAAACTGAGGTGTAGGGAAGTAGACTAACTGTATCTCAGAGTCAGAGACGTGACAGATCGCCCAACGGTTAACGAGCCGATACAAGTAAAAGTACAGTAATGTTCAGGTGTCGACGTATTTAACACTCACGTCTTAAGAGAGACTGATGTATTTACTGTTATTTTCTGAGGTGGAGTAGCGGTATTAGTTTATGAGGAACACCAATGTCTGTCTAAGCTAATGCACTGTATTGTTATCTGAATTTAGTTAAGATAAGCCTAAACCAATGAGTCAGGTTGTAAGAAAACAGATATTACTCCGCCCAATCAGTGAAAACCGTAACACATACATCCCACCAATGAGTCAGGTTGTAAGAAAACAGGTATTACTCCGCCCAATCAGTGAAACCGTAACACATACATCCCACCAATGAGTCAGGTTGTAAGAAAACAGGTATTACTTCGCCCAATCAGTGAAAACCGTAACACATACATCCCACCAATGAGTCAGGTTGTAAGAAAACAGGTATTACTCCGCCCAATCAGTGAAACCGTAACACATACATCCCACCAATGAGTCAGGTTGTAAGAAAACAGGTATTACTCCGCCCAATCAGTGAAACCGTAACACATACATCCCATACAAAGCATCGTATTACCAGCTACAAATCAAAGTTCATGTATTACAAACCTTTATAAAATATACAATGAATAAAGAATTATACCAAATATACGTACACTAATATCACTGAGTATAAAGTGTAATATATTAATATGACATTTAGTAAGATGATTCATATAAAGTAACATAACATTGATAACACTAAGTGAGGCGAGCTCCTTAAATCGTTGCCGAGGTTTGTTGAAATTTGTAGCTGAAGGGAAAACAACGTTGGCAATGACAGTGATCCAACACTCACAGGAAAAACAGAAATTGTGGCGAGGAAATATTGAAAACCTGAAGCACCTGAGAGAGGCCTGAGACATCACACAGCTAGTGATTTATTATGACCTAGTGATCTCCGGGACACATGAATCTTATATATGTCTATAATTACGTGTCATACAGTAGAGTTTTACTTAAAATGAAGATACCGTAGATAACCCCAGCAGACAGACGACCAAACAAAACAGCTCTGGGGGCCGTCACTTAACACAGTGATTAGAACGTCTGTCATTGCCTAGTTTATAATATATAAGGGCAAGGGGTGATTTAATAGAGGTTACTAAACACCTCACAGGACATTATTCTGCCAACTGTAGTTAGTAAGTGGCTGTCGTACCTGTCACCGTCTCACGTGAACCCCTTCCTTATGATATTTTTTTCAAAGTATTGTCCCCAAATCAAGCTTCATCCTTAAAGTATACAAAGAATTTTCTGTCATAATTCATCCTGGGAAAAATTTACACCTGCTAGCGATACATTATATGCCGAGATGTTTGGAATTGAAAATACGACGAGAGAGCATCGTGGTTATCAGTTCAAACATGGGGAGGAAGAGCTGAAATAAACTTGTTTGTCTCGAGACGTCACGAAAAAAAAAAGAACGTAAAATACTGAACCCTCGTAGGGAAAACTAGAGAGGATGATTAAATTATTAATTATCCAGGTGAGACAAGTGTGGCCGTAAACACGAGGGAGGGAAGGAGGGAGGGAGGGAGGGAGTACAGTATATAGTAAAGGGTCGGTTGAATGGTTCAGATGTTTATAGGTGAAATGACACTTATATCTGAGTCTTGTTTACACACACACACACACACACACCCATAGTGAGGTAAACCCACTAACCAATGCCACACTTGTGTAGCTGAGAGCGCTGCTGTTATCACGGTATAACAGCTGCTCTATAGCTATAGGTGAAATAATCTACTCAAAAGTCCTCCCAGCACTTGGCAGTGATCGCATTACACCATACAGTAAATATGTTAATAATATCACTGTGTTACCTGTACGACCCTTAAACACAGCCAAGAGGGTTGAGGTAAACACACAGTTACTCGGATAAGAATAAACCAATATTGACAATAACAGTCGCTGTAACACACACGGCCTATGGTCCTG